TTCCACAGAGAAGACACACAGTGGGGTTCAGGGTGGATTCTTGCCCATGTGCTCGTCTCTTTTGACCTCAGGAGTGATGCTATCCTCCATGTTCTGATGTAGCAAGAAGGCCCCCAGCAGGGGCTGGCACTGGACTTGTCAGCCTCCGGGGCTATGAGTAATGAAGGTGTTGACATTATTCATTACCCAGCCTCTGGGGTTTCATGACAGCGGCAGTTCCGGCTGGCTCTTCTTTACCTCACTCCTCTCTGGGAGGACTCTGATCACCATGCCAACCTTCCTTCTGATGTGTATATCTTCTGAGCACCCACCGTCTCTACTTAGCCTAAAGTCTCCTTCAACACTGGGAACAATGGCCATCACTTCTTATTATCTCTCTTCAGAGCCTTGCAAAGCAGCCAGATGTATTCTCTGATTCCTCCACCCACTCTGAGTGGGGACCAGGAGACTTCCTGTGCCCGGGACATGTGTGTCTCCTCTCTCCTCATCTGGCATCCGGGCATCACAAAAATGCAGACAGCAAATCACTGCTTTCTCATCTCTCCTCAACACCCGGCATTGTTTTTCATTGTATTTGCTAAGGGTAGAAAAAAATGTGCTAATATTACAGAATATGCTTGCCATTTAGACTCACATAGAGATTTCTAGAAAGAAGGTAGAACCAAGAAGTTGGGAAAGTAAGCTGGTGGGGTATATGTATAGCTGTAGGTTTCCTGACCTGGCAGCTCCTGTCACCCATGAGGCCCCAAATAACACATGGACACTATATTAATCATAAAATGGTGGCTGATGACTAGGGCTTCTTACTGGCTAGCTCTGTCTTAATTATTAACCCATTTCTATCAATCTCTGTATCACCACGTGGCTGTGGCTTACCCGGTAATGCCCCGGCACGTTGTTACTCCTTTGGCAGCATGGGGACTCTGTGGCAGACTGCCTCCCTTTCCCAGAATCCTCCTCATCCTCGGCCCACCTCTTTTCCTGTCTCATTGGCCACAGTGTTTTATTCATCAGCCAATAAGAGGAGCATGTACAGAAGGAATTTGCCCATCATTTATGGTCTTTTGTGTGTGAAAGAGTGAGAAGGTGGGATAACAAGGAGCCACCAAGAATGCTTGAGGGTTGTCACTCTGTGAGACCAGCACTGAGATGTCTACGAGGTCCCCTGAAAGCAGTAGCTGCAGTCACCACGGTGGACAGAGGCTGCTACCTCTTCTTCTAGGGCAGTGGTTCTCAACTGTGGGCCACACCCCTTTGGGGGTCGCATCTCAGACATCTACATTATGATTCATAACAGTGGCAACATTACAGTTAGGAAGTAGCAACGGAACAGTTTTATGGCTGGGGGTCAGCACAGCACAAGGAACCCAGCTAAAGGCTGGAAGCGTTAGGAAGGTTGAGAACCATTGCTCTAGGGCATCAGCATGGTCATTTGATCAAAGGGAAAAGCCTCACAGGTAGCAAACAATTCCTTCCACAAATTCGGGGTAAGAAAGTGTGGCAGATGAGTAAGGCAGGCTCTGGTTTTTGGAGGTCCTGGGGCACAGACGATCCATTCACTCTGAGACCTGCCATCTAAGTGCCCCCCTCCCCCCAAAGTGCAACATTTCAGGGTCTGAGGCTTTGCTGAAGATGAAAAAAAAAAAAAAAAAAAAAAAAAAAACAAAAAAAACACTCCAATTTCTCAAGCTACTTAATTTGATTTAATCAGAAACGAGGACCTACAAAAACTTCCCCTGCAGGCTGAGAACCCTGCTGAGAAATCTCAGCCCAGAGTGCAATTAGCCAGAGAGAATTACCAACATTGGGAAATAAAACCCATATAGTAGAGCCTCCCAATTATGGGGACAGTGTCAGTTATTCACTCGAATATATATGTATTTATCCCATCATCTTGCCGGGTTAATGATACGAGCAAGGCGATACACTCCCATTATTGCTCAATAATGGACCATGGAGATGGCGTATCTCCGCCTTTATTTTTGCTGGCACATCCTAGCACTGAAGCACATTAAAGTAATAAAATTAAGCAAGGCGTCCCTGTCCCTCCCACCATGTTCCCGTAACCCCCTCATTTACAGCAGACTGCGCTAGAAAGAAAGGTTTAGAGCAATTTAAGATGAGGCAATGCGGGATATGTAAATCCTGTTTTATTGGCAGTTGGGGCAGCTCGCTAAGATGCTAAGATGCCCAGCAGCCTTCAGTTTATGGGCTCCTCTGGGTTGGGGTAATTCCATGTCAAGGCCACATGGGGCATCATGGGTAGTTAAACATTTCTTCATTGTTTTTACACCATGAGTTTTGTGGCTGTCAGGACCATTCTCTCACCTGTAGACAGGCTGTTGTTTTGTTAGCTGCAAATCTGTTACGGAGCCTGCTAAGCTTGAGGTGTGTGTGTGTGTGTGTGTGTGTGTGTGTGTGTGTGTGTGCATGCATGTGTAAGTATGCAAGTATGCACATGTGTGAGCATCCATGGAAGCCAAAGGTTGGCATTGGTGTCTCTTTTGGCTGCTCTCCACCTTATTTTTTCCAAGCAGGAGCTCTCGTCCCTGGAGCTTGCCCCGAGCTCCGGAGATCTCTGTGTCTCCATCTCCTTGGAGTGGGATTGCAAGCACGGGCCACAGTGGCTTCCTTTTACATGGGCCCTCATGCATGCATAGCAAGCGTCCAGTGCCGAACTATCTCTATGATTTAAACCCAGAGTTTTTATGGCGTTGAATGACAAAAGCAATACTTATATGTTTTAGAAATATGCTGTCCTTTGACCCCTATTTTCATCAAAGGCAGAAGCTGCCAGGATTGGGAAAGTGGCGAGGACAATTTTGAGGGCAAACATGGGTGTGAGTTTGGGAACATCAGATAGAGCAGGGCAGATCTGCCTGTGTAATTCAGTTCTTCTCCAGATGCTGCTGCGGAGGCAGTGAGGCGCAGGGAGGCTTCATGGACAAGACACATTGTCCTGTGGCCTTCAGACACACTATATAACAGGAGAACTCAACAGGGGTTTGCCCCGTTCATGGTGAGCTATGACCATGGTGAGCAAGGAGAACCATCGCTCCACTCCATGGAACTTGTAGATGTTATTGTGCTCAACGGAGTTATTATAAAAACAAGAGGCTCAAAAGCCGTCGAGCAAGTCAGGGCTGGCCAGAATGCACACCCCTGCGTTCTCCCTTCTCTTGTCCTCCTCTGCTGGGTCTGACTGTGCCCAAACCTGCAACAGGTAAGAGAATGTAGGACAGGCTTCCAGACACCAGGGGCTGGGGATTCTACACAGCTTGTCTATGCCACAGAGCAGACAGCAGGAGACCAGGGCAACAGGGTAGTGGGGTCCCTGCAGGCCTGCCCCCAGGTGGGTGAGGTAGGGCGGTGTTTCAGGGTCGCATGGCATCGACCCTGTTGCATGTGACACAGGTCGCAGGCCTGTGTCACAACTGTTGTGTTTGTCAGCCACGGGGGCCATCATGTCACCGACTCCACCTGGGGGAGCCCCCAGATCTTTGGCTTCTGATAGGCAGATGATCCATGTCAGCTGCAGGAAGGGAGGCCTGGGCTTGGGGGATACAGAACACAGACACGGGGCTTAGAAGACCCCAGATTCAGCAGGTCAGGGTCAGCGGGAGACTCCTCTGTGAGCTCAGTTTGAGTGGCTGGCCCTTTTAGAAATTGTCATCTTTTCTCCTCTTAACTCGTAGGAATATCCATTCATGGGTGTCTGCTCACCAATTTACCACTGATAACCCCTCCAGGTGACTCACCTCCAGAGTACTCTTTACTTTGTTTAGGTTCTTTTGGGAGTCATTTCCCTTTCTTTTCTTCACCATACGAATGGGCAGCCGACTTTCTGCCTCATGCCTTTCATATACACGGCCGTACCCTCCTCTCAATTTCCTTATAGGTGGCAGAAATAGACCTCATGGGTGGAATTCGGCTGTGCTTTGTCATTAAAGCACATGGTCGTGAATTCTGGGGCATGCATTGTTCTGTTTCCTGTTGCTATAACAGCATACCTGAGTTTGGAGAGAGAATAAAGATGAACTCACTGCCAGAGGCTCTCATACATGACATTGGCTTCTGCCCAGCTATGACGACAGTCCAATAGTGGACAGCATCCCAGGGCAGGGGTGCAGAAGTGATCACATACTAAGACGGGAAGGAAAGGCTGGGCATGGTGGTACATGCCTGTAATCCCAGCCCTGGGGAGGCAGAAGTGGCAAAACCAAGATTCAAAGTCATCTTCAGCCATGGATGCATCTGAGACCAGCCTGAGCAATACAAGGTTCTTTCTCAAAACAACCAAATAAAGAAACAACCAGACACAAGAAGCGGTTAGAGCCTGGCACTGCTCTTTTTTGTCTTTTAAAATAACATCTTACTTTCATGAGAATCACCCCCAGAGACCAGCCTGATACCTTCCCAGAGACAGTCCTCCAGGGCTTTGTTACCATCTACTAGGTCCTAGTTTTTTTTATACGTTTTTTAAAAATAAGATTTGTTTATTTTTATTTTATATGAACTATGTGCGTGCAGTGCCCATGAGGGCCAATAGAGGGAGTCCGAACATCTGGAACTGGAGTTAAAGATGGTTGTGAACTGCCATGGGGGCGCTGGGAACTGAACCCAGGTCCTCTGTAAGGCCAGCCAGTATTCTTAACCACTGAGTCATCTCTGCAACCCCAATCCCCATTTTTCCATTGTGTGTGTGTGTGTGTGTGTGTGTGTGTGTGTGTGTGTGTG